AAAAAAAATTTTAATTTTTTAATATTAAAATGTAATTTTTAACTTACTTGGTTCCTCGTTTATTTTTTTCTTTTTTATACAAGGCTTTATTTTTTTCTTCTCCTGGCCTTGTATTGGAGAAATTTTTTCTTTTTCACTATCACCACTGGAATCTGTTTGCCTTTCATTTGGCTCCTTTACATTTTCATTATTAACTTTATCAATTCCTGTAATGGCTTTCTGTTAAAAAAAAAATAAAATACAAATTAATAACAAACAATACAAAATTTTACAACAAATTTTAAAAAAGTAATTATTAAAATAAATAGTTACATTTATAAAATAGGGGTAATTTATGAAAAGAAAAAAAAAAAAAAAAAAAAAAAAAAAAAGTGATTGATAAAGATTTACAAAACACCCAAGTTGAAAAAATCAAAATATTTCAAGTTGTCAACTTGGAAAATTTTTCGATAATTTAAACAATTTTAATTACATCCGAATAAACTTTTCATATTCGATTATTGCAATTTTGAAAATTTCAATTTTTTAAAAGCTTAAAAAAATAAATGATTGAAAAATACAACAAAATTTAAATACCGCCTCATTCTGTGATGAAGTGAAATTTCCCATTAAACAGACGATCAATTATCATTACTACTACTATTATTTAATATTTAATTTTTAATCTCATAATTTACATTTTATAAAACCTATACAATTACAAAAAAAAAATAAAAACTAAAAAAAAAAAAAAAAAAAAAAAAAACAAAGCAAAGACTAGAACGATTTACATCAAGAATGAAATCAATCGGGTTAACCCTAATTGGTTTCACTTGTAACTATCACATTTTCAAGTATGTTTACCATATGTTAAAAATAAAATTACAAAATGGACACAGTGATGCCAACACAATTTTTTAAATGAATATATTTGTCAAGCACTTTTAGTTACTTGCTTCACCACAATATCATAAGCGCCACCATCGCCACTCACCATTTTATTTAAAATTTAAACTACTTATTTATTTTTAATTTTTCTTTTTTTTAACTTTTGATTAAACACTATAAAAATGTATAAAATTTTAAGTAGTTTAACTTTTAAATTTAAAAAATAAAATAATAATAATAATAATAAAAATTAAAACTTACGTTTCCTTTCATTTTTTTCGCATTGAAAATTGATTGAGATTTGACATTTTCCGGTAGCTTTCTTCGACACCTAATACATTTGTTAAAATCCAAAGATTGTATTCCGCAAAATGGACAAATCGCCATGTAACCCGATATGAATCGAGGTTCCTAAAAAAAATTACAATGGATTTTAAATATACATTAATTTGTATTTGAAAATAAATAAAAACTTTTTCTTTTTTTCCTTTGCTATTTGTCAGATTTAATATTTCTACTAACCTCTTTAGATGGCGACGGTGATGATGATGATGATGATATTGAGGAAGTTCGATTTGTTTGAAAGTTCGTATTAGAATTATCTATACTTAAAACTTGGGGTCTCACAATTTCCTGAACGTTGGGTATGACAATTTTCGAAGTAGTGAATTCTAGTTGATTTCGTGGAACACTTATGGTTGATATATGTTGTGATGAATTCTGACGAATGCCAGTCAATGCATTGGTAGATGTTTCCCTAAAACACATAAAGAAACGTATATTGAATATAGAAATTTAATCCAATTTATTATTAATTACGTTTAAAAAATTAATTTACCCGGTTGATGTAATGCACGTTAATTGTCCCATGTTCGACGTCTTGGGAACAGAAGTTATTTGATTGTTACAAACGGAAACTTTTGCCACGTGATCTATTTTAGAAACATCAACTACTTGTTCAACGGCGATCGAGGTTGGAGTGGTGATGGATACACCGGCCTTAAAATCGTCAAACAGAAAGTATACAGAATCAGTAATTTTAATTTCTAACATTCAAAAATTCGACAAAAAATGTTCAATTACTACCTGCTGTAAAATTTGCCCCAAAAGAATATTTTGTTGAGAGCCAGGAATTTTGATTAATTTTTTTTCGCCGTTTAAAAGTAAAACTAACATTCTGCATTCTTCGACATTTTCAACATTTTTTTGACTAGGTTGATTTCCTGACGCCACCGTGTAAATAGTTTGAGAGGGTCCCGAAATAAATGACGAAGACCTAATAAAAAATTGTAAAATGTTTTTTGTTTATTATTCCTGATAATTAAATTGTAAAATAATAATCTCTTTCGATTTCATTACCTTGCTTCCGTTCCGCAAACGGTAATTTCTTCTTTTAAAACTTTATTTCCACATCGTATAATTTTATTTTTAGGATCAATATCATCGCTAGTGGATCGGGGAGGAGAAGTTTGCACTCCTTTTCCTCTGGATACGTACTGTTGTCCGCTATGAAAGAAAAATTTAATAAATTTACAAAAAGAAAAATTTCCAAAAAAAATATTATTTAATAAGGTATCTTACATTCCAGGCGCACTAATATTTTGAATATCACGTCCGTTACGATCAGTTTTCTTAAAAGAAGTATGAATTTGAGATGTTTGAATATGAGATGAAGTTTCAGACGACTGATAATTACTAGTTAATTTTTCTTGTAACGTACTACTCATTTCTTTTTCGTTTTGTATTAAAACTAAATCTACAATTAATAATAATAATAATAATAATAAGGCAAAAATAATATATTTTAATACATTTGTCAAGGAGAATAAAAACAGAAAGAAAAAAAAAAAAAAAAAAAAATTAAAAATTTACCCGTTTGTTGTTCCACTGTTTTGGCTTTTCCTACCGGGAATTTGTTGAACATTGTCGAAGGACCTTTTGCACTACTAACTTGTTCAATAATTCTTTTGGCACCTGATTGCTCTATGATACCTAATTTAACATGACCCACAGTTTGACTTCTTTCAACAAAAAACTTACCAGTTTGACTCTGTAAAACTAAAAAAGAAAAATTTACATATTTTAAAATTAAATAACATTAAGAATCTATTTTTGTAATATTAAAAAAATTATATTAAACCTGGTGCACAAATTTTTTCTTGGATGTTAAATTCCTTCATTCCTGGAGACTTGACATTATTAGGCTCGTGACCTGATTGGCCGATATTTCCTAAATTTTTCACTATGTGTTTGGGAGGCGAAGTAAAAGAATTTTCACTATTTGTTTGTATACTTTGAAAACTAAAAGATGATAAAAAATTTATGAGCATTCAAATTTTCAAACGTCGTATAATATTTTTAATTTCAAAAAAATTTTCACTTACCTGATTTTAGCTTGCGGTTGTCTAATAAAAACTGGATTATCTAATTTTTGAACAATAAAAACTGGAGTTGAGGTTGATTCCACTTCTTGCGAGACTTTCTTTCTGTATTGAGTTATTTTGGAAGTTATAGGAGATTGAGAAGACATTTCAAATCTTTGAGGAATAATTATTTGAGGCGATTGTTGAATAATTGTAGATATACCGGTTGGTTGACTGATTTTTTTCGTTTTACACTGTTGATTATTAATTTGAGTTGTAGTGGCCAATTGACATTGCTGTCCAACGGTTTCATTTCCAAGTAACTGATTGTTAAGATTAGCTAAAAAATATTTCAATAAGTTTACTTAAAAACAAAGAATTCATTAAAAAAAAGTTTTTTTTTTTCAATTTTGTATCTACAAAATATATTTTTACTATTACCGATTAGAAATTAAGATATTTTATAAAAATAAAACTAACCATTAGGAGGTGAGAATCCATCAATAACTGTAACTTGATTCAAGTATTGAACTTGTGGAATTATTTGATCACTGTTACTAATTTGTTGGGAAGTTCCAGTTTGCGAAGGTCTTCTGTTTCCTATTAATTGTTGAGTATAATTTTGAGAAGATTCTTTATCCTTATGAATTATTTGAGTTGTTGGAGAAGTAATAAGTGGTTTTTGAAGCTGATGTTTTTGAATGATAACTGGAGTTTGCTTATTTTGCTGATTTTGAACTAATTCAGGAATCGAATTAGCACTATTTATTAATTTATGTTCATGATTTTGAAACACCAAAATATTACCACCCTAAAAAAAATAAAAAATTATATTACAATACACAAGAGTTTTGTTATTAAAAAGGTGAATATTTATAAATTAAACAATTAAAGTTTAAAAAAAATACCATATCAACAGTTTGAATTGGCTGATGAATTTGAATCGGTTGATGTACAGGTTGAATTTGAGTAATGCAAGGTCTTTTTAATTGTTTCTTTTGATTATCATTTTTTTCAATGCATGTCAAAGCATGTTCAATAAATTGTGAGTTTTCTGCATTTTCAGACTACAAAAAAAAAGTTTAAAGATTTTTATAACACAAACATGCAAAGACTTACTTTATACATTTAAAATACACATAAAAAAAATGTATATTTTGGCATAAAAATTTAATTTATGTATGACTATTAAATAATTACAAAAATGTATTTAAAGTAATGGTTTTTAAATTAAATTATTATAAATAAAAATAATATTTTTTTACTTACCAAGTTTGATAATTTAGAATTTGGTTGAACTTGCTGAACTGTTTCGATGGATGAGTCATTTGCATCAATGTGTTGTATAACAAATCTTGTTGGTTGTTGAACAACATATTGACTTCTTGGTGAAATACACCTAAATCAATGATTTTAATTATTTTTCTCAGTAGATTAAATGTGTTTGTAGTTAAATTTATAAATAAAAATTTTTTATTTTTTAAATCAAACTTACTGCGATGAAGCTGCTGAACTTGGCGTTAATTGAATATTAGATTGATCCACAGTAGTAATTATTTGTTGACCCTAAAACATGTCATAGAAAAATTTATTAATTTTTCAAAAGCATTTTAAAGAGTAATATATAAATAAAAAAAGCTGAACTAACCTGTTCTTTATTTATTTGAGTAATTTGATTCTCCTGAACCATACATGGAATTCCTTCAACATTTTCAAACTGTAAATTTGGATAAAGATGATGTAATTCTTCTAGTGAAGTTACTTGATAATACTGAGCCATTTTAAGCTCTTACAAAATGAATTTTGTAATAGAATTAATAGTTAAATCCATGAAAAACAAATATCTAAAAAACAGTTTATAAAACATAAGATAAAAACATATTACTCCGATTTTCGATACTTAGATTTTAAGTGAAATAAGAAAGTATTTTGTTAAATTTATTTTCTAAAATTATTAAAATAATCACTGGCTTTTGTTTAAAAATTTGAGAAATCAGGGTATGAATTTTTATATAATAATTGTCAACCCAGCACATTGAAATTAATGAATACAATAAATGTATGAAATTAATAATAACTGTACGAACGAACGGGTATCCTTTTAATTATATTTTATATTTTGCACTTTCCACTTTACCTACGCATAAGACATAACTTAAATATAAAAATGAGGAATGGCTATGTAATGGCGGATTTAACCAACACAAAATGGCTGGTTAATCATTAATTTCTATTATTTAATAAATATAAAATTATTAGTTATGCCATAAGTGTTATTTTTTTATAAATTGCATTCGAAAATTTAATTCTTAATTATGTTTACAATTAACCATAACAACTGTAATAAATAAATGTAAACTATAAAAAAAAATTTTAAGCTTTTAAGGATCCTTTTAGCACGATGTTTACAGTATTGATGAATTCCTTTTTAGAGAATAAAAAACAAATTATATGTCATGTCATTTGAAGTATTTTATGTTAAATAAATAAAAAATAAATTTAATTACTTAATACAGCCAAACAGCAAAAATTAATAAGCATTATACAGAAAATAAGACTTTCAATAATTAATGCGAACTCTGTTAAAACTGAATAAAAGCAATAAGTACGCATGCGCAAAGTTTAAAACGTCAACGACTTAAACCAATAAAATAACTAATATCAAACATTTTTGTTACGATCAAAATCCGAAACCTTTTCCCGGGTGATTTCAAATTTTAGCCAAATTACACGTGTTTTTTGCACTTAATGACGTTTTTATAGGCCTAACAAAAATGTAAATAATTTGTACGTATATTCGGGTAATTCCACAATCGAATAATTATTTAATAAATAAATAAAATTTTCAATAATAATTTTTTTTTTCGTTCTATTTTATTGCGTGTGACTTTCTTTAAAAATTTCTCTTCTATGAAGTATGTTTTTAATATACGTAACACTAAGGGAAAAATTAAATTTTATAAATTAAATATGTAAAAGGAAATTTTCACCTTTTTTTTTAAAAAAATATAATTATACAGCCAAGAGAGTACGATTAAATGAATTTATGTGATTTTTTAATTTTTTAAAGACCTAAGGAAATTTTTTATATATTAAAAATACATAAATACTGGAATAAAATTTAAATAATTTAACAAAAATAAAAAATAAAAATTTAAACTAATGAGCAGAATGATTGTGTCCTTTAAATAGCCAAATAATGGCAAAAAAATTTTTATTACCAGAATTTAGAAATAAATTTTATTTTACAGTTTTATTTATTCAATTTAATTTTTTAAATTGTATTTTAAAAGAAGCCCAAAATTATTTTATAATAAAAAATTAGAATGATTAATTAATAAATTATTTCTAATAATTATAGTAGAATTTTGAATTGAAAGTTATATGTAAATTTGTACCCAAATATTTAGATTTACAATAAAATAAAAAATAAGGTAACTTTATTAATTAAAGTTAGGTGATTTATGGTTATTTTTTTTAATCAAGGCTGTATAAATTAATTAGGGACTTGAAAATTTATTAGAGGTAATTCTTGAATATTTAAAACAAGAATAAATAAAGTCGGTTTCTTTGTTAAAAGGCCTAATGGGAAACAAAATGCAATTTGTATTACTTTTACTTAATGGGATGGAAAAGTTTTCTAAAACGTGTGGCTTATTTACCCTATTCAGCGGTAAATCGCAGCAATTTTTGCTATTGTAAATAAATAAAACCCAGAAAGATGTTTGACAACTAAAGTAGTTATTTTGCAAGAAAATTTATTAAAATATTTCCTTTTGTTATTGGTACCTATTTAATTTTATTTTGATAAATAGGTTTTACTTTTTTTTTAAATTTTTTAAATATAATTATTTAATTTGTACCTTAAAATTAATTTTTAATTAAATAAATATTTAGTTGTTTATATTAATATTTGAGTTAGGCAATTCTTCGTAGATATCGATGCTAAAGTTTATTTATACACAAAAATAGTATATTTTAATTTGTTTTTATAAAAGATTTTAATTTTTGTATGATAAAAACTATGGACGTTACCGATGGCAGCAAAAGAAAAAGTGAAAATTTGGAAGTCACCGGAGTTTCGAGATCCGGAAGGGTTAGGAAAAAATCTAGTAAACTTGTTGATTTTGAATCTACTGATGAAGTAGACATTAGACAAAAAAGAAAACTTCAAAATGGTACATAAAGTGTCTTTTTGACTTTTCAAAAGGATTTTAATAACATTAAAAAAATTTTTACTTTTATCTATGTTTAGATCGAGGAGATCAGTCATCTGGTAGTAGATCAAAAAAAGTTCAAAAAACTACAAAAAACAAGCCTGAAGAAGAAGGACAATCATTTTCTGAAAATGTAAAAGAAAATGATGCAAATGGAAATCATCCAGGTACTTTCTATACCTATATATACCCATAATTAAACCAATCCTATAATGACAAATTTAAAAAAATTTTTGTAAGAATAAATAAATTAAAAATTATTTTGCTATTGTCAAACAATTATGTATACATGTATACTTTCTAATTTAGTTATTTTTATGAACTTTTTTTTGTATACGAATAATACAATTTAAAATTGTATGTTTGCCGTCAAGTATGGATATTTGAAATATTTTTAAGATTCAGATACAGATAGTGAGTTGGGTCAACCTCATATTGATGAAGAAGATGAAGAGTATGAAATGGGTGAGGATGATGATGAAGAAGAAGAAGAAGAGGAGGAGGATGAAGATGATGATTACAATGAAGGGCAGTTAGTTGTAGATGAAAAAACTCCAACTCAGTCACTTTACATGATGGAAAAATCTAAAAAAAAATTAGTAATAAAAGATGGAAAAGTAGTTGGAACCACAAAAACTCAAAGGAAAGATAAAGGAAAAGCAAGGTAAAGTTTGAAACTATATGAAAAATAGATAATTAAGCTTCTTTTTTTTTTTAAATTCCTTAATCTTTAAAGAAAAACTCGATTAATTTTTTTAATAAATACAGATTTACAGCATACATGATGTGGGCTAAAGAAATTAGACAAGAATTAAACAAACAATACCCAGACATGGATTTTACAACTATGGCTAGAAGACTTAGTGAGCTTTGGGGAACAGTTCCCAATTCTGAAAGAGAATTATGGAGAAGAAAAGCTAAAAGAGAGGCTGCAAAAAAACAAAAATGTAGTTATAAAATTTACCTTATTATGTTAATAATGATAACAATTAAAAGGTTACATTCAATATTTTATTTTACAGTAAAACAGGATGCTCCATTATTACCTAGTAGAAAATTTATAAATAAAAAGGGAGGACCTATTCAGCCACCATTGAACAATATCCCTGTTGCAAAACCAGTTGCCACATCTCCACCGGAAAATCAAGTTGTACGTATTTAAAGTTAAAATATTTCATTTGAAAAGTTTAAAGTAAAATAATATTGTACTAAAATTACTGAAAATAATTTTAGCAAATTAATCAAATTAAAAAACAACAAGAAGTTATCACAAGTCCAGGTTTATACAAAGTAACAGGTATTGCTCCAATAGATGTTGCTGCACATTTAAAATTATTAGGAGAATCATTATTTATTATAGGAGAAAGACTGCAGGTACTTTTAGACTTTTACAAAAAATTTTTTAAAGACATCAAAAATAGTTAATTTATAAAAATTGAATTTTAATTTCAGGAACATGAAGGGCAAATTGCTGTATCAGGTAGTTTGTCGGTTCTCCTAGATTCTTTGTTATGTGCAGTTGGTCCATTGCTTTGTCTGACTCAACAAGTTGAAGAAATGAAATCAAATAGTCAAGTCCTGTCAAAAATCCTTCAAAATGTCGCGTACATGATGCCTGGTTTAGGATAAACTTAGTGCTATGTAATACTTTTTGAATAATAAAATATTTATTAAATTTTTGTGTCTCTTTTTTTTTTGTTGGATTCATTTAAAAAATTATTTTAAGAATTCCTTAAATTTTCCTAATTACTACTGAGTACTTAATAAAGCTACTTTAGCTTGATTTATTTTTTATTTGACAAAAAATTGAGTTGAGTTTTACTTTATTTGTCATGAAGCCTAAATATTTTTAATATAAATACTTATATGGCTATTGCCTACAATTATTATTTTATGTTATACGAAAAAATTCAAATAAAATATTTTCCTAATTACTTTTCTTTTGCCCAAAGTAATAGTTACAATAATGTTTGAAAATAAAAATTAAAAAATAAAATCCTCATTAAACTATATATGAAGTTTAACATAAAAAATTATTGTTTCAATTCAACGGCATTCCATCAACAGTTGAAAAAAAAAAAAACCAATATGGAAGGCAAATTGTTTAACATGGGTACGTGTTCGTAAGTGAAGAAATTTTCAATTATAATTGAATATGTTTTTTTTCTTACTTATTTAAATTTTTTTTCTTATAAATTTACACTGTATTAAACACAAAAAATTTAATGTAATTAGTAGTAGTAGATATTTTTAGAAGGATATAATTTTATAAGTTGCCGAGTCAGTGTTGCTAATGACTGTTATTTAATGGAGCCCTCTTATTTAAATTATTTCAGCATGCATTTTTTTAAAACTAACTATTTGGTATTTAATCTAATTATTAATTATATTAATTTGTTAGCTAATTATAAAATTATAACATTTAAAACAAATGCAAATTTAATAATTTTATATGAATCTTTTAATTTTTTCAAAACTGGTTTTGTATTCTATACATTAAAATAATAATAATAAAAATATGCAATTTAAAATAATTATAATTATAAGTCCTTTTTAAAAATGTTTTCCGATATTTGTTAAATAACTTCAATTAATAAAAAAACATATAAATGACCAAAAATATTTACTACTCAGTAATCAATATTATATTGCAAATTAGGTGGTAAAATTAGACAACATTTTTTTACAGGGCAATTAACACCTGCAACTTTAAACAAATTGAAAGAAAACTTTTACCAAGATGACAAAAATATTCTAGCTCTAAATGCCTGTGCAAGGGTTGATCCACTTGAGGTAATTTAGTTATTTGTTTTGTTGCATTTATGTTGTTATTTATAAAGATATATTAACTAACTTTTAAAAATCAAATTATCAGGTTTGTACATCGAGAAGATGTTTGGAATTAACTCAACATGTTTACCAGTATAATTTAGAAGTTGAAGGAAAACCAATGACTAATCAAAAATCAACTGGTTGCTGTTGGATTTATGCTGCTTTGAATGTTATTAGAGTTCCTTTCATGAAACATTTTAATCTTGAAAAATTTGAGTTTAGTCAATCATACATATTTTTTTGGGATAAATTAGAAAAATGTAATTTTTGGTTGCACAATATTTTAAAAACAGCCAAAGCAGGTGAGCCTGTTGATGGTAGACTTGTATCTTATCTTTTACACGTAAGTAAGATTATTAACTATTACTAAATTTTAGTTGAAAGTTAAATAATTAAATAATTAATTTGTTTTAAAAAATATGAATATTTAAAAAATATTTAATGTTAAAATATATTATTATTTTTAGGAAATGGTTCCAGATGGAGGTCAATGGGATATGTTTGAAAATATTGTTAAAAAATATGGTCTCATCCCGAAAAAATGTTTTCCAGAAACATTTAGTTCAGAGTCGAGTAGTCGAATGAATGCAATATTAAATAGTGAAGTAAAGTTTCTGTTTTTTAAATAAATGGTAGAAGAGGTTGTTAGTAATAAAATATTAATAATTAAAAAATTATTTTACTACCTTTTACAGTTACGAAAATGTGCTAAAGAAATTAGAACAATGGTTGAAAATAAAGCTGATGATGCGGCATTAGAAGCTAAAATACTAGATCAAATGAGTAAAATTTATAAAATAATAGGAATTTGCCTTGGCATTCCTCCTGAAACTTTCACTTGGGAATATACTAATAAGTCAAAAGTAACACAAACAATCGGTCCATTGACTCCATTAGAATTTTACACAGTTCATGTCAAACCTTTATTTAATTTGGATGATAAGGTAAAATGGTGGTGGTGAAAGATTAAATGTTAACATTATTTGTTATTTTAGATTAAAACTTTAAAGCATTAATTTTAATTAAATCATGCATGTTTAAAAAAAAAAGTATACTTACAAATTTGATTGATTTTAGGTCTGCTTGGTAAATGATCCTCGGTCATTTAACCCATTTAATTCTGCTTTCACAGTTGAGTTTTTAGGAAATATGGTTGGAGGAAAATCTGTAGTCTACAACAATCAACCAGCTCATTTGTTAATGAAATTGGCTGGAGAATCTATTAAAAATAATGAGCCTGTTTGGTTTGGTTGCGAAGTAAGCAAAAGATTTTCCAACAAAGCTGGAATCGAAGATCTGTCTATGTAAGTTTTTGCTGTTAATAAAAAAAAGAATTATTTATAATGCATATAAACTATTTCAAAAATAAATAATTTAATTTTTTGTTGTAGCCATGATTACAAATTGGTTTTCGGAGTGGATCATTCTTTGGAATTGAAAAAGGATGAAAGAATGATTTATGGAGACAGTTGTATGACCCACGCCATGGTTTTTACTGGTGTTTCTTTTGATGTAAGTAAATAAAATTATAATCATAATTACTTGTATTGTGAATCTTAATTTTCATAAATAATTTTTAGGAGAATGATATGCCAACTAAATTTAAAGTTGAAAATAGTTGGGGAGAAGATAGAGGTAAAAAAGGATTTCTCATATTGACAGCCCCTTGGTTTAAAGAATTTGTTTTTGAGGTGGTCGTTGATAAAAAATACGTTGATGAATCAATAATGAAAGTTTTTGAACAGACACCTAAGGTTCTACCGCCATGGGACCCCATGGGTGCCGTAGCTTATTATTAATTTTTAATTTTAAACAAAGTTTTGTAATACTATACGCTATAAGAATATAACTTTTTAATAATTTACAAAATAATGAAATATTATTATTTTAAAGTATTTTAATTTTTTTTTTTTTTTTTGTATGGCTTAATAATTATTGTTTGCGACAAATTAATGTCGGTTTTTCTTTGTAAACCTGTTTTTTTTTATTAAGAATCTCATATATATATATATATATATATATATATATATATATATCGAATAAATCATTGTCTTATAATACTTTTTTATCATTATATATGAAAAAAAATTAAGATTTTAGTAAATATTTTATATATTTTTCCTTAACCAATTAAAACCTTTCAACCTTTTTTTTAAATTAATTAAATACCGGATTTTTTTAAAAAGTTATTAATCTGTATTTTCTCATTGTAATTATAAAAATTCAAATGTATTATTGATGCTTTTTTTTAAATCAAACACTTCTAAAAAAAAAGAGTAAAAAAAAAAAAACTAATAAGCACGATTTTGCCTTTGACGATTCCAATCCTGACCTGCCCTATTAAAATTTTGCCGATCTCGAAATCCTTGTGCACCCCTATTAAATACAGTTCCTATAAACAATAAAAAATTTAAATTAAATCAACAATCCAATTTAAATTTTGAGTGAATTTTATTATAAATCACCTTGTTTGGTTTCAAAAATTCTCTCGTTTGAATCGACCAAATTAATGACTTTATCACTTAATTGTAATGCTAACGATTGAAGTCTGCTAGGTTCGGAACGATGCATAACAACCGTGTGCGTTGGATCGTCTAACGAAGCCTATTTTTAAATAAAATTCAAATAAATTTTTTTTCTACTTATTTTACCATCATAATTGCAAAAGAGAAAAATATAGATAAAGATACCATCAATTCTTCATTTATAATCATTTTCGAAATAATGGAATGAACTACCGCACGATCTAAATCAAACATTTCTCCTAAAATTGGCATCGATATAGAATCGTAAACGTGTGAATAAGTAAAGAGGTACGTGCGCAAAGCTTCTTCTTGAATCAATCTTGTTAACATTTCTCGAACGTTGTCGGCTTGATGAAACAAATCCCAAACCTTAAAAATCACATTTTTTTTTTTTTAATTCGAGTAATAAATATTTTCTCAAATAATTAAAAATAGCAATAATAATAATAATAATAATAACCTTGGCATTCATTTTTGAATTGATTACAAAATTTTTGCAAGCTTTCCAATTTCCATTTCTCAATGCTTTCGAGGCAGCCACCACGTGCTCCCTCATGCTTTCAGGTGGTCCGGCTAAACTTTGCCTTTCGCTAGCCCGTAATTGTTGATAAAACGTTTTCGAAATCATACGACGACGTGCATCGAATTCATGCGCTAAAAAAAAATTTTTTTTAAACGAATTATTTACCGGATAAAATTTTTTTTTTTTTATATAACAGATAATTAGAGAGACTTCAACAAACCGGCCATGTAAGGTATTTCAATTAGCATAGCAGACACTAAATAAACGCACTCCAACAATTCTAAATTAATATGCATGTGAAACGGCATCTGCCTTTGTTTTTCTACTTTTTCCTGTTCTTTGCTTCTTTCGTTTTGACGTTGCGGTAATAATCCTTGAGCTAATAACTCTTTCATTTTTCCCGTCATCATTAAATCGAGTAAACAATTGTGGGCATCTTTTATGTTAGCATGTCTAAAAGCACACAAACCCAAATG